AGTAAAAGGAGAGAGAGATCAAGTGAATCACAACTCGCGTGATTTTTTCTCCAAGTAACAAACTTTTTGGCACAATGGATTGCAACTATCCTGTTATTAACTTTTCTGGGTTTTGATGATGACACTTCATCTTTTGAATTTTTTAAATCCAAGGTCTGGTTAGAAATTCCTTGGCCCAGATAATATCTGGATCTTGGCAATGAACCCAAACATCCCAACTAAGTTGGCAGTCGCAATACTCCTAATAAGTTTGTCAATAGATTAAATTTTTAAATCTAGATTTACCTAAAATCAATTAGTTAGATACTAAATTTGTCTAATATGAATTGTGAGTAAAAGACATTCAGACCCATGTTTCCAAATCACATTCCGATTTGGGACCAATTTTATCCGATCCATTAACAGGCCATCCTTAATAAATGGTGGTAAACAAAGGTAAAAATCCTAGAGCAAAATTCTCTTCAATACATTTTCCCTCTGTTCAAATAAAACTTATTTTATAAAGTGAATTCCTTACTCANAAGTAGTTACATAAAGAAACAAAGGTAAAAATCCTAGAGCAAAATTCTCTTCAATACATTTTCCCTCTGTTCAAATAAAACTTATTTTATAAAGTGAATTCCTTACTCATCCATGTGCGTGATTTGCCAACAGGTAATTTTTTTTTTTGCCAATAGGGGGAATTAAAGGAAAATAAATATTAGAAAAAATATGGATCCAAATCAGTGACACCTAACCCAACCGCAGGACTGCCAAAAGTCAGGAAAGAGAACTTTATTCATAGTCACATTGCACAAACGAGGCATTTCCCTCCAAAACTAAATCCATCCTCTGCGGGAACCACATTCAAAGAGTATTCAAATATCCATCCCTTATTTTTACCTTGCTCATATTCCAACCATTGTCGATGAATGTTTCATCTCCCAACATTAACAACAGTCTTAAGTTCAAAACTTAATCAACATCAAAAACAGTCGCACCAATGCATAGTAACATTATTAGTACATTTGCAATAGTCGGAAGATTAGGGTCTAACAATATTTCAAAATGAAGAATTCGCAAATCAACCAGTAAAGACCGAGTTTAGGTACNACCATTGTCGATGAATGTTTCATCTCCCAACATTAACAACAGTCTTAACTTCAAAACTTAATCAACATCAAAAACAGTCGCACCAATGCATAGTAACATTATTAGTACATTTGCAATAGTCGGAAGATTAGGGTCTAACAATATTTCAAAATGAAGAATTCACAAATCAACCAGTAAAGACCGAGTTTAGGTACCCAACGAAGGAAATAAGCAAGCTGGAACAATCAAATAAAAACTACAGGCACATGGGAAAACCAATAGTATATATCCATAGCTGGTAAAAGTAACCACATCAACCTAATATCTGAATCTGCAGAATACTGAATCCAAATCACATTGCCAAAAAGTCTTGTAACTTATGTCNCGCAAATCAACCAGTAAAGACCGAGTTTAGGTACCCAACGAAGGAAATAAGCAAGCTGGAACAATCAAATAAAAACTACAGGAACATGGGAAAACCAATAGTATATATCCATAGCTGGTAAAAGTAACCACATCAACCTAATATCTGAATCTGCAGAATACTGAATCCAAATCACATTGCCAAAAAGTCTTGTAACTTATGTCAAACAAGCATAAATAGAAACAAAAACAGTTCTCAGCAACTAGTTCTCATGCCCAGCTCACAGGTCTTGCACACTCAAACCTACAAGCATGATTAGTCAATAATAAGAATCAAGCAAAATAAATTAGTAATCAATTATGATCCACTAAATCTCTTTCCCTCAAAGAGGAGATAGTTTTATCCCACATAACAACATGCAACAAAATCATGAAGCATTTATACAACAAAATATAAGCAATTTATAACTCTTCGCCTTATTCATTTTGCAATCCAATCTACTTACCACATTTATTTGAGCAATACCATCTAAGCATCTGATATGTAGTTCAAAGCATTAAAAGAATACATCAAACTATATCCAATTTGGGCCTCCTTACCAATTCAGGGATATGCGCTTTAAATCTTCTAATCAATATAGGACATGGTTAACTCAATCTTATGTCCAAAAAGTTTGTGCAACAAGATGTATCCTGTACATGTGATAATAGAGGTAAAATGCAGAGATAATAATTTGCCAACCTGGAGGAAGGGATTGCTTTAACTTGTCGGCCTTCTCCGAGTCAAAGACACACAGAGTGTAGAGGTACTTGGAGCAGCGAACCTTGAACTTAACCACATCTTTGCTCCTCTTGATCTTCACAGACCGTGCATCCTTCCTTCTAGCAGTGAGAAGAAAATCTTTGATCTCGTGGATTTGCTTAGGCTGCATACAAAATAAACAAAGAACAGTTGTCACCATTAGACTAATGAAAAAAGCAAATTAACAGGTTGCCTCATCAAACACTCCACATGAAAAATTGGAAGTCATTAGAAAGAAGATGCAGTCTAATTCTGAAAAGACAATCCAAAATCTCTGCAATATCTAAATGCAAACTTCCGGGACCATATCCCATAAAAAATACAAACCAAATTCATTCCAGTATCTGTAGACAAGACTTCAAGAGGACCTAAATATTATGTAACATCAACCATAACTATTAGGCTTCCCTCAAAACGGCAATTAACAAAACAAACTTTCACAAAGGAATTACGTCAGCTGAAAGATCTGTTTGGCTGGCAATGGACATGTTTCCAATACTTGAGGACTAAAATTAACGATATTACTCTCGGGGTGAAAAATGACCTTATACAGTGTGCTTAGTACTGAAACTGAAAGTAGTGATGTNCGTCAGCTGAAAGATCTGTTTGGCTGGCGATGGACAGGTTTCCGATACTTGACTAAAATTAACGATATTACTCTCAGGGTGAAAAATGACCTTATACAGTGTGCTTAGTACTGAAACTGAAAGTAGTGATGTGTAGAACAACAAATTGGAATTTCTAACAAATGATATGAACCGAGCTAAATTACTAAATCTAGTGTTACATATATGTTTTTTTATGCAAGGCCCTTAACTGGGGAATAAGGAGATTGGCTGAGTTAACACATTGTTTTGGTAGATGAATAGTTGATGGAATTAAAAATGGTNTATGCAAGGTCCTTAACTGGGGAATAAGGAGATTGGCTGAGTTAACACATTGTTTTGGTAGATGAAAAGTTGATGGAATTAAAAATGGAGTTTGTGTTATGAGTGAGTTTCTTTGTAGGAGAAAGTATCAAGTTTTTAGGCGGCGGTCACTTGTTTAGTACCCATAGAAAGAACCGTACAGTGCTTGAACACTTTTTCCCTTCTTTTTTTTTCCCTGACGAGANTTATGCAAGGCCCTTAACTGGGGAATAAGGAGATTGGCTGAGTTAACACATTGTTTTGGTAGATGAATAGTTGATGGAATTAAAAATGGTGTTTGTGTTATGAGTGAGTTTCTTTGTAGGAGAAAGTATCAAATTTTTAGGCGGCGGTCACTTGTTTAGTACCCATAAAAAGAACCGTACAGTGCTTGAACACTTTTTCCCTTCTTTTTTTTTCCCTGACGAGATCAATGCTTACAATGTTTGCATACAACACAGATACACCAATAAAGCTGGGTCAAGATGGTCCAAGTGTCATCAGCCATCACAGGTCTCTCAAAGCTGGAAGGACCTAGCTTTAAGCATCTGAGGATACAAATATCAGACAAAACTAGGTCAACAACAACTAAATCATGTCGCGGGTGTTTGGCCACAAATATTACATTGAAACCGATAAAATTTGGCGAGACAGAAAATCATTAGACATTAAACCTAAGAATTTCTAGAAGTTGATAAAATCGAACAACAAAAGTTTCCACATGTTTGAGCTCCCCTTCGTTTCTAACAATCAAAAAGTCGTAGAGCAAAAAGCAATTTTAAACAAAACATCCTAACTCATAGATACGTTGATAAACATGACAAATTAAACTATTACGTCGTTTCAAGAAAATATTTTCAGCTGTGGATCGATCTGAAGAGAGAGACAGTACCATTTTCGCCTTAGGGTTTGAGAGCTGCTTGCTGAGTTGCTGGTGGAGTTGGGCAAGGTGAATGCTGCGGATATATATTTGGGGGCATGGGGTGTGGCGTGCGTACAAACTTGAACCCTAGAATTTCAATTTTGCTTGTTGTCTGTTTTGCCCCTGTTAAGTTTTTCATCGCACACTCAAGTCTTTAAGAGCACCTCCAAATGGAGATGTCAAAATTGATATGCCAAATTTAAATTTGAAGGTTTACGTGGTATTTTGATATTTAGAATTTAATATATTCACCTCATTGTATTTCAATTCATATGTCAAAATAATTTATTCTAATATATTTTTATCTTTAAATCTTTTTTCTTATATTAATTTAATATATATTTTTAAAATAATTTTTAGAATCAATTAAAATAAATATTACTAAAAATAAATATTTTTTAAAATATTATAAATTTTTAATAAAAAGTAGTATATATTTTATTGAAGAAAAATTCATTAAACTTAACTAATACAAATTTACAAGATAATTAAAAGTACAATTTTAAAACATAAATTCAAACCAAATTATATGTTACTACTCCTCACATGACAATTCCACAAGTGATGAACCAATCAACTGGAGTTGAGAATGTGTTCTCCTATCACAAATGTGTAAGCGATTTCGAATAAAATCATAAAATTCTAAGGTGTGTCCGTGTGACATGACAAGTTCTCTACTTTTAATCTTGTTTGCATCGTAATTAAGTGGAAGATTTTCGTAGGGTTCATCCTCAACAATCATGTTGTACATTATAGCGCAAGCCTTCATGATCAGCTAAAGTATTTAACAATCCCAAAAACAAGTAGGGCCACGAACAATTGCAAAACATTCTTGGAGCACTCCAAAACGCTTGTTCAATATTTTTCCTTGCAAACTCTTGAGTTGCAGCAAAATTTTTTACCTTTGGCCCTAGTGGGCATGAATTTTTTTTCACAAATGTTGTCCACGAAGCATAGATTCCATCAATAAGATAATATCCCATTGTATAATCATGATTAGGAAACTAACGTATGTCAATTTCTGATAGCAACCTATAAATGTCGGCATTGTTCGAAGTCTCAAGTACATGTCGCCAAAAATTTCAACAACCGTATGAACAAGCCTTTTTAATGATTCAATTGAGGTATTCTCATATATCCTCGTATAATCATCCACAACAGCTGTCGCAATTCCATAAACAAACATCCTCATTGTAGTCTTGACATCCTAAAAATCGGGGGTTCTTTGTCAACCCGTTAATCACCCATCAACCCACGAAATTTGGGCAGAGCCTCCTTTGTACGGGAGCTTTACCCAAAACACAACCTGTGCAATCATACAACATTGACCACACCAGATCCATTTATCCATACTCATATAACAACATGCAATTTTATATTTAAAAATAGTCTATATGAGTTCGATTACAATTCTTTTTCATACATTACATGCCTAAAAACTAATTGACATCTTATTTTTACAAAAGAATAGTTTAAAAGCCACAAGTCGGCTTTTCTTCATCTTTGAGACCCCGAATAAGATCTTTCTAGTATAACCCGCACCTAAAATATTTTTTCATAAATGGTAAGCTACACTCAATAGGATATCTCCTAAAAAGGCTACTCCCCAACCTAAGTGCATATAAAATGTCACATGCAATTCAACAAGCCACAAAGCATTCCAATCAAGAATATGCAACTCAATGTTGGCATTCACTATGTAATGTTATGAAATGAGATAAAACTCACTCACTCAACTCAACCTGAGCCCTTACCGGTTCCCATCACCCATGCAACGCTATGAGTATAAAACTGGACATTCCAAGCCCTTAATGACATTTTAAAAATCTCTAGGTCTTTCTTGGGGTGAGTATTTATTGACTTACATCAATGGGCAATCAACCAACATAGAATTCATGGATTTCCACTAATGGTTCTGTGCACACCGAAACACTATGGACTCTACACGAAAGGAGTGCGTATCCAATCACCGGGTCTTGCATCCGAGGGACATTCTAGCCCTTTTTGCTAACCCCGATTCTATTTTCAATGCAAATAGTACGACTTAGCCGGATCTTGGGCCAACTTTCCCATGCCCACTCACCATCCACCAATTGTGGTGTTTGATGACAACTATGTACACACACTCACAAAATGCGATGTTTTCGTATATATGCAATGTGATGTACAATTGCAACGCCCATATCATGTCCAATATACTATGATATGGATTAATTTAACCACATATCTACATATTCCATGACAATTTATATTAAAAGCATATAATTACCATAATTCATCACAATGTCAATATATCAACATATTCCTTTCAACTGCAATTTTCTCAAGTATGTTATACATCACCTATGCAATAACGCATTTAATTTCACATAGGTATTTAATCAAATATCTTCAAGGCATCCAATCATTTAATCACATAAAACACCCAAATTCATCGCATAATTCAAGAAATCACATTAAGTGATTTTTACATACCCAATTATCAAAACTTCTAAGAAATTACAAGCTTGCAATTTCTAATTACCAATTCATACTAGAATTTAATTTACCCATTTCTATTAAATCAACTACAATAGGCAAGTGTTAAAATACATCTAACAACCTACCCATTTCACATAATCGTCCTAGGTTGAAAATAAACCTAGTTAAGATATAAACCCTATCTCTTGAAACATAAAACAATGGTAGAAAAGCCTTCAATAATACCTCTCAAGCTCTAACTTTGATTTTCCCAAGATTTCATTTTTGAATCTTTGGTAAAATCTGTCCTTTTTGGTATGGTTGTGTAGCCCTCGTCGCGTAGATGAACTTTAATACTTGGCTCAAAGGATTCCAACCGGCGGAACTCCGTAGATTGTAGAGAGAAGGTGAAGCTTTCTCTCTTTTTTCCTCTCTTCTCTCTCTTCTCTTCCAACGTTAAAACTCAACAGAATAGAATGGAGAAAAATCAGATTTTTGTCTCCTATTTATACCCTTGAATGCTTGGTCCACATTGCGTCACGCGTTCCCTATTTATACCCTTTATTACTGGAACCATTTTTGGCCCGAAACAATCAAATTTCATCTCGATTCAAGTTCAAAATATTTTTATTTCAACAAGCTTTAGATTATAATAAAATTTTTAAAATTTTATTTTTGGGGTCGTTTTTTATGTCACACGATACTTCGAAAAATATAAAAAATTTGACTATCTCAGAATTCGACAAAAATTGACAGGATAACTAGATTTCGCGAGACGAATCCAACAGTGAGGTCTGTTTCGTCATCCAAGTTCTAGAAAAATTTGAGTTTCCAATCTGTACTGTAATAACAAATTACCGTTTTGCCATTTTTCATAAAAAGTTTAAATTTACCTGGATTTTACATTCTTCCCCCCTTAAAAGAATTTCGTACTCGAAATGCACACTTAACTGCATGCATATGCAACAAGTAATATAACATAAATGACTATAAGAATGTACCTCCATCCTCGAACAATAACGAATAATTGGTATGTATAGTGTCCTCACTCTCCTATGTTGTCTCATCCACACCTCGGTGCTGCCATAACACCTTCACTAAGCTCAAGGTCTTGCCTCGTAAAACCTGCTCCCGGTTATCCATGATACGCACCGGTCCTTCCTCGAAAAGTCTCATAAGCATCATCAATCAACTCACCCTAATCCACCATATGTGTCAGATCTGGAGTATACTTCCAGAGCATAGAGACATAGAACACTGCACACCCGATAGATTTGGCAGCAACGCCAACCGATAAGCAACTGTACCAACCCTCTAGAGTACCTTAAATGACCCGATATACCTCGGTGACTACTTTTTTTGCTTGTCGAACCTGACCACTCCTCTCTTAGACATCACCTTCAAGAAAACGTGATCTCCTACCTCAAACTCCAGAAGTCGTCGCAGTTTGTCGACATAACTCTTCTGCCAGCTTTGAGTCGTGAGAAGACGCTTTCGTATCAAGTTCACCTTCTCCAAGGTGTCTTTAACCAAATTCAAACCCGTAGAGGGTCTCCGCCCGACCTCCGTCCAAAAAATTGGAGAACGACAAGGCCTGCCATAAAGTGCTTTATAGGGTGTCATTTGTATGCTCGCATTGATAACTATTGTCGTAGGCAAACTCCACTAAGGGTAAATGCTCTTCCCAACTACCCTTAAGTAGAGGACACATGCCCAAAGTATGTCCTCTAAAGTCTGGATAGTTTTCTCTGACCGACCGTCCGTCTGGAGATGAAAAGTTGTACTTATCATCAACTGTGTCCCCATGGTCTGCTGAAAACTCTCCAAAAAATGGGCCTTGAAATTGGGATCCCGATCCAATAGTATAGATATAGGTACCCCATGCAATCGGACTATCCCCAATATGTACAATCAACATAATTTCTCCAATGTGAAGGTCATCCGTACTACTAAGAAGTGTGCCGACTTCGTAAACAGGTCCACTATTACTAACATCGCGTCATGCCCCCGTGATGTCCGTGGTAAAAGGGTCACAAAATTCATCGTGACGTGCTTTCACTTCCACTCAGCCACCTCCAAGGGCTGAAGCAACCCTGCAGGTCTCTGGTGCTCAGCCTTGACTTGTTGACACGTGAGACATCGACTAACAAAGTACTCAATGTGCCTCTTCATCCCACTCCAGTAGTACTGGCGACGAAGATCTTGATACATTTTCGTGCCACTTACATACACAATAAAATGAGAGCAATTGAACTCCCTAAGGATCTCCTCTCTCAGATCCGTAGATTGGAGAACTATAACCCTTCCACTAAACCGAAGACTACCATCTAGGTGAATGACCTAGCCCTTGTCACTTGTACTTGACTGTACTCAGTCCCTGATAGACAATATCTCCGTGTCCTGTCATTGGGACTCGATCACTCTGCTCAGTAGAAAAGACGTAGCCACCCAACTCCCCAAAGTGCTCTAAGTTTGACTCCTATAGTGTAGCCCGAACTGCTCCACAGTCTCGA